GGGGGGCCTGCGGGTGGGCCGGGGGAAGGGAGCGCTGGCGCTCGAGGGTCAGAGCCTGATTTTCCCCCCAAAGGTGAGGTGAAAAATCACATTGAACGTCAGCTTTACCGTGTCTCGCGTGGCAACACACTTGAGCGCCAATAACTTTTCAGCCCGTGTTTCTTTCACGCGAATCTCCTTTTTCTGCGAGCTTTTAAAAGACACCAGTCGCCCCTGGGAGGCCTGCATGCTTTCCCCCGACCCCTGATCTGTGCTGGGGTCACCTTCGTCCTTGAGCTTTGAGACCCCATTGTCGCTGGCACCGCCTGAGCCCTGCTCTGGAGTTCGCCCCGGTTCCCATCCACAGCCAGGCCGCCCCGGCGGGGGGAAGGTGGATACAGCATCTTCTCAATCGTCCGCACTGCCGCCCGCGCCTCTGAAGCCTCCTGGTCCCCGGGCCCCGGGCCCCGTGGCACGGGCGTTCCTCGTGCGTCCGGCTTCCTACCGACCGCTGTTCCACCTCCTTCCCGGGTCCTCCTTGGCGCGCCCCGCCTGTAGCGCTTCCCCCTTTGGCGCTGCCTGAGGCTCTCACCCACTCCAAAGCTCAGTCCCCAGGTTGGTGGTCAGCACGTAGGCTGCGCCCGCGGGTAGTTGCCCAAATCCCGTGTGTCCGCCCACACCTGTTCTCACTGGTCAGTGTGTCTGCCTGGCCCTTTGTCCCCATGGCTGTTAATATCGTGAATGCCATCTTTGCCCCACACCATACTCTCCAGGTCTCCCTCTGATCAGACCCTTTTATGTAACCAAATATCTTAACTGCTGTGACCCTGCGGAAACTTGAGCCCAGCATGTCCCAAACACAACTCAGGAGCTGCGGTTGCCCTTCCTCCTGAATGACCTAGCTGGGTTACTGGCACCCCGATCTTCTCAGCTCTGCGCCCCATAGATATGGATGCCGACCTCGACTCATCCATCCGTGTGTCCCCTGTCATCCAGCTGGTCACTGGCACTGCCTCTGCCCTTAGATGTCCCGACTCCTGATGCTCCGTGTACATTACCCTCCTCAGGGCCCACCTGCAGATGGGCTCTCTCTCTGTGGTCCCTGCCGCCCCCCCCTTCCGTGCCTCTTCAGGCTTCTCTTTAAGCAGATTACGTTTCAGTGCATCTGCTAAAAATCCTTAGTGGGTTCGGAGTGCCTTCAGGATAAAGTCCAGTGTTAAAGCACGCCCTGGCCCATCTCCCTCTCCAAATCAGCCCCCAGCCAGTGTCCCCTGGCGCTCGAGGGTCAGAGCCTGGTGTCCCATATCCTGGCCAGTCCAGAAGGCTTGCCGTGCAAATCCACGCCTCCGTGTTCCTTTGAATCTTTGGTCTTCCCTTTCCCCTTGGCACAGTTAGGCCTTTGAGGACCAGCTGGCGCCAGGTCTACTGCGACCTCCCCAAGGTGACTTCCTCTTGAATACTTCATGTGGGCCGCGTACTTGTCTCCATATTGACACCTGACCTCGATTTATTTTTCTTCAGCTCCTCCACTGCTTTGTAGGCAGTGTGACAGCAAGGGCTTGTTTCAGCAATCTGTGTGTTTTTGTTTTCAGTACAATTTTACTTAATAAATGAATGATAGATGTATGTACCATGTCATATTTAAAGTTCCTTAAATTTTGAAATTATTCCTGAAATTTGTAAAGAGAATGCAAAGAAAAAATACCAGAACAGAGTCACGTCATATTCGACCTGCTAAATGGTTATGCTCTTTTGGGTGATGGAAGCTTAGTCCCAGATTCGACCTCGGCCCCGTGAATTTCCTTTTGCTTCCCCATGAGTTGGCCGATGCACTCGTTGCATCAGTCTGTAAGGGCACACGGCTCAGCGTCGTGTTGCTGATCAGTCCACAATTCCATTGTTCTCTATCATATGTTTCCTTCCACCTCCACGGTGGGGTTATAACCATCTAATTATATGGTCACTCCTTCGGATAGATTTTGTTTATTTTTCTGTTGAAAGTATGGCACCCAGGCAGGACAGATTAACCGTTTAGGGGTGGACACGAGGGCCCCAGTTGTGCCCGCTCCCACTGTCTGCTGAGAGCACCGCGGAGGGCTCGGTGGAGGGGGCTGATCCCCTGCTCCCGGGCCCCCTCTCCTGGGGACAATGAACCCCTCCAGACCTCCTGAAGGGAGTGGGCTGGGGGCAGCAGTTGTAACAAGCCCCCCAGGGCGCTCTGCACAGCGCCCTTGAGAAGCACAGTTAGGTCGTATGGATCAATGGAAAACTAGTAGCTGTGAGTCCGGAGCTTCAGGTGGCCTCATCTTGGTCCCTTTTGCAGAGAGGGGTGTGGCTGGGGGCGGGGGGCTCTGGCCCGTTGCCACGGTGATCTCCGTGTCGGTGCCTGCGTAGCCGCAGCTTGTTTCCAGCCTGGAGAGTCTGGGTGGTGCCAGTGGGGAGGCTTGGTCTCCCCTGTGCTGAACCACGCAGGGCTCTATTTGGTGCTGCTTCCGGTGCCCATCCTGAGCCCAGCCTCTGACAGGGTGAGTGGGACAGTGGAAGGTCTGCCCTCACCCCTTCCTGGAAAAGGACGGTCGAGGTGTGCGCCCCGAGTTCCTGGGCGTCTGGAAGGGCACGGGGGTGGGGGTGGGGGCGGGGGAGGAGTGAAAGTAAACAAACACCCCTCCCTGCAGTCTTGTGACTTGCTGGCCGGAGAGTGAAGCTTCCCGAGGAGTCTGAGTCAGAATCAGGAAAATCCTTCCTCCTCATTATGGGTTTTGACCGGGCGTTGGCTGTGGTCCTCTGGGCAGAGGTGCGCATGCGCGTGGTCTGACCAGCTAGCTAGCTGCAAAACTCAGGAGAGCAAATGGGGTGCCTGTGACTCACGGGGACAGGGTGCCTGGCTTGAAGGGTCATATGGGGCAGAGTCCCAGCTTGAAGGGTCGCGTGGGCAGGGGCCCAGCTGGCAGCGTCACGCCCTTTCCAGACACCCCTTTGAGACCGCCCCAAGGCCCGGCCCTCCTGGACACTGCCTGGGACACACGTGGCCTTTGCAGCCACAGGACGCCTCCAGGCCGCGACTCACGGATGTGAATTATTGCTAGGAGAGGGACAGGTCTAGCACTCACCTCCGTGTGCAGGGGCTTCCTGAAGGGTGGGCGGGGTACCTGTAGAGGAAGGTTAGAGGAGGGGCGCCTGGTGCTAGAGGTGTGGTCAGAGCCCTGGAAAGGCTGGCTGGCCGGTGGGGGAGTCCAGGAGGGGACCCCTTGGTAAGAAACCTGGCTTCACAGGGGCTTCTCCCTAGGATTCTTCTCTCACACAGCTTGAAGTTTTCTTCTAGTTCATGATTCCCTTGGGCCAAACACCACCTGTCTACCAAATGACAGAGGAGGCTGGGGTCAGGGGACTCAGGGAATCAAACGAACCAATTGCTGGTCGGTGGGTGGGAAAACAAACACCCGAAGAAGGCCAGCGTGTCCTGCGGGAGTGTGGCCACGGGATGGGTCTGAGTGCCGACTGGAAGCACCCAGGCCCCCGTGCTCTCCAGCCCAGGTGGGCTTCTGGCAGGAAAACCACGAGGACTGCACAGGGAAATGCAAAGTCAGCCTGGAGAGCTGGAGGGGTTTTCTGGGCTGGAGAGCTTCACGCCCTGCTCTCTCCCAAGTGGCTGTTAACCAGAATTAAGAGGGAAGGGGAGGAATTATTTTCTCTTTTTATCGTGTGGATAAATGTGACACCAGGAGTCTCTGTGGTCACAGGGACTGCTGTGGGGGCAGAGGCTGGGAAGAGGCGCCGAGGTGTGGCCGTGGGAGGGAGAAGGGGTTACAGACCTGGGGGCTCAGGAGACTTAGGGGGGCAAGAATGGGGAGTAAGATGCTGGCCTGGCAGGAGGCGGAAAGAGCTGGTGTCCGTTTGTAGGATTTGAGGGACACGGGACACTAAGAAGCCCTGCTCCCCATGGATGTTTCCTTCCTTTCCTGGGGCCTCCCTCTGCTGGTGGGGCGCCCATGGAGCAGGGAGAGCTGTCAGGCCGGCCTTCGAGGGGCTCCACAGCCAGGAACGGGAAGGCCCTGGCCTCCACTGGGAAGGGCACCGTTGGTGATGTCACAATTCCGGTTGGAGCCAATCCTAGGAGTGACATTTCCTAGCCACGGAAACTCCTTTCTTCCCCATCACAAAAGACACTGCACACGTGCGACCCTACAGGGTGACCCCTGCCCTGCCCCTCCTGAATGGTAATGCTGCCCTGTGTGTGATTACAGGACTGGTTGTGTTTCTGCTCTGTCCATCGCCGCCATGGCATCATCTCCCTTCACGTGTGTCCCAAGCAGGTGTAATTACCAGCTGCAGCTACTGGCCCGGGGAAAGGGCCTCTCCGTTTGGACCATGCCTGCTACTCAGGAACATGTAACCTTTGCTGCTTCCCTTTCGTAGTCTTTTCAATCTGATCCAGTATAGTTTCTGGCACATAATAGATGCCAGTAAACTTGGTTGAGCTGCATGCTGGGTATTGGTGTTAGAACGACAAGCAGTATGTTGGAGGCAGGCGTTCGAAATAAGAATACGTCGGTCACTTGGTAGGTCTGAGATGCCGTTCAGACTTTGGTCTCCATCTGCATGATACTGATTCTGCTTTACTCTCTGATGAAGTGTTTTAGATCTGTTACCAGCATGTTTCACCCTGATTTGGGTCAGCCTGCAAAAAAGGCAAACTGCTAATAAATTGTGGATGAGTGTATGGCAGAATGCATGAAAAATTTTGATGGAGAAGGTTCCTAAGGAATAGTTAGGGGGAGTTTTTTTCAGCATCATGGTTCAAGGGCTCTCTGTTGCAATAGAGCATTTCTGTCATTAATTATATGTAATAGCATTTCTGCTCTTGATGTCCGTGAGTCTTCCTTTTTGTTTTATTAGCTATATTAAAGGTGTCTTGAAATTAACCATCCCTAAAAACTGAGGGATGTTTTGACGTATTCGTGAACTAAATGGACCAGTTTCCTTGAACAGAATAGAAGTTACGATTTGTGGCTCACAAGTATGGGATGGAGAGTGAGGTGGCTCAGAAGCACAGCTAAGAATTGTTGATAAGCGTGTTGGCCAGCAACCACAGAGAGGACAGAGTGGACTATGAAAGGGCTCTGCAGATCTGTCTTGCTGTGATTGATTGCAGTGATTTACAATTCAGTGTGCACTTTGGTCTGTAGTACCAATTAGTGGAAATGGACTAAGCTTTGAGGGGAATGCCCAGCCAGTGTTCAGGAACCTTCCACTGTTACATGATTATCAATTTAATTACATTAAAGTGCACTATTGCTCATTGCCCACAAGAGACACCGTATGTATGAGTTCACGTGAAACAGAGCTGTCTAGCCATTTACCACCCTGTAGTTCATCTCGCAGCGGGCCCCTGCTCCGGAGGGCGCCGGAGGAGCCCGAGAACCGAAGGCAGTTCTGGAGGCCTTCATGTTACAGCAGAGCTCCAGCGCAGTTGGCCCGGGAAAACCCACTCCCAACCCTGCCACGCACGCTCTGGCACAGCTCGGGGTCGCTGGCACGAGCTCTGTCCTGTCATAGGACTCGGGTTCTAAAACTCTTTATCTGGCTTTCTGTCTTTTGTCTCTTATTTTCACTTGTATTTACTCTTACACTACTTACTTTCCTTGGGAATGTGATCTGCTGTCCTTTCCTGATCTATGGGAAGACCAATGGGAAAATGAGGAGCCAAAGTCTCCACTGGGAGAATCTGAGCCATGTCTCAGGTGCGAGGCAGGCTAGGGCCCCCCAACAGTGTTCCCGCTGGCCTCGCTTCCAGCACAGCCCCCAAAGACCGCATGCTTACTGGTAGGCTTGCCTTGTTTCTTGTAGGATTCTGGCTCAGGCAAAGGTTTCCTTTAAATAGTAGTTATCTAACCTAGAGTATTAGAAATGTGACAGAACAGGCAAGGCAGGAATGTAGAAGTCACGTGATTCGAGGATCGCTGGCTTTTTGATGGCAGCACCTTGTATGAAACTTTTTTGTATTTGTGAGACCCACTTGCAAACGCATTTAATTGTTAAGGAAGCAGTATTGTCCCCTTCAAGGGGCTGCTGTGCCATCAAATCCCTTCTTAGGCTTCCCCTCCTCAGCCTCCCCAGCTCCTCCCAAAACCTCCCCACCCCCAGGCTCCTCCAGGAAAAGCCTATGGTCTAAGTGGACCTCTGCAGGCAGTACCTGGGGGTCAAGAGGCTGGAGGCCCAAAGCACAGGGTGCAGGGGGCCTTTAGGTGCTCCAGCTGTTTCCTGGCCCCCTCCTGTCAGCAGGGTTGAGGGTGGTGTGGTGCTGACAGCCCCCAACCTCCCGGTCCCTTGTGGTGGCACTAGGTTGAAGCCTGGTGTGGGGGCTGGAATGACTCTCTCTCTGGCCTGTCATCTCTACGTCTCCAAGCACAGGTGGATGGCCGGCTAGTTCTCAGTGCTGACCCTGCCCTGCAGCAGGTACCTGGCATCCTTTGGATCACCCCTGGGGGTCTCCTCGGAGCCCCTGGAAAGCCCGGAGGCTCTCAGGGTTTCAGCTCGACCTGGAGTTGTGTAAGTTCCCCGACAGGCTGAGAGGGGGAATGACAGAGTGACAGGAAATGAGTTGGAGAAGGGACTGTGTATCTTCACTTCACACTCTTGTCCTGTCTAGAGTGCAGCTTTTTACCAGGATGTGTATCTTTAATGTCTGCAAGGACATGCTGAGTTTTAGGGTGAGCCTGTTTTTCACCTGTTGCATGAACTGTCGGTCCTCATCCTCCTTGGCTATGACCGTAGATCACAAGTGGGCGATGTTCTGGTAGCTTCAGTACGATTTGCTCCTAATGCCAGCACAGGAAATTAGCTGGGTAGCTCGTGAGTTATAGAATGGACTAGATGCAATTTTTGGGTCAGTGAAACTGATATTGCAAAGAAGTGAGAAAATAAGTCTAATGCATACATTTTAATTTATTGTAAAGTAAATATGCCAGATTTGTCTAAAAGCTTAGGAACATTGTATCATTTATAGTGACAATTCATTTGCAAAAGACTCGGATGGCTTTTTTTTTTATAAAGCTATTAACTGGAGAGTGACTCTTATCCCATGAGTTATTTATGGTGGAAAAGCAATAAGAACATTAGCACGATGAATGAATTGTCAGTGACAGGATCACAGCAAGAATAAATAACAGCAACAATAAAAATATAATGGATTTTCCATTTTTAATCAGCCTAAAGAATTCTGCTAAACAGTGAAGGATTTTATTTTTATCTGGTACAACGCTAAAGTTGTTTTGTCATGCCAGCTGCATTTCACCTACATTGCCCATCTTCCCAAACTAGTTAAAACTCCTCTTGCCTCTTGTAGTCTTACCCTGCACATAGTGGGTACTTGCTAAATGTCCGCCGAATAAGCATGGGCTTGATGGTGGTCGATACAGCTTTCAGATGGACTGGGCTGTGTTAGGAGGAAGGCCGAAGAAAGAGGCAGGGACCTGGTGTCGAACAGTCGTTCACCTGAACAAAATGATCATTTGGTTGGAAGCAA